GTCGTGCCTAGATGAAAGGTCCTAATGGCTAGAGGGGGGGTGAATAGCCTATTAAAAATTTCTACAACAACACTTAGCAAACCAGTTAGACAATTATGAGGCGAAGCAAGTGTTGCGCTAGCCTACTAAAGTTGCAAGCCACCTACCACAATTCTAGTTTATATGGTTTCTATCCACACAATAGCTATATCACTACACTAAGTTAATGCGCTCTCAAATGCTAACTAAAGAGCCACACTAACCAAATTAACAAGCTCTCATAACTAGCTACACTAAAGAGCTTGACAACTAGTTTGCGGTATTGTAAAGAGAGAGAGCAAGATAGTTATACCGCCGTATCGAGGAGTGAACCAACCAATCACAAGGATGAATACCAATGAAGACCAATCACATCGGAATCAAATAATGACACAATGATTTTTTACCGAGGTTCACTTGCTTGCCGGCAAGCTAGTCCTCGTTGTGGCGATTCACTCACTTGGAGGTTCATGCACTAATTGGCATCACACGCCAAACCCTCAATAGGGTGCCGCACAACCTACACAAGATGAGGATCACACAAGCCACGAGCAATTCACTAGAGTACATTTTGGCTCTCCGTCGGGAAAAGGTCAAGAACCCCTCACAATCACCACGATCAGAGCCGGAGACAATCACCAACCTCCGTTCGACGATCCTCGCTGCTCCAAGCCATCTAGGTGGCGGCAACCACCAAGAGTAACAAGCGAATCCCGCAGCAAAACACGAACACCAAGTGCCTCTAGATGCAAACACTCAAGCAATGCACTTGGATTCACTCACAATCTCACAAAGATATTGAATCTATGATGGAGATGAGTGAGAGGGCTTTGGCTAAGCTCACAAGGTTGCTATGTCAATGCAAATGGCTAAGAGAGTGAGCTTGAGCCGGTCATGGGGCTTAAATAGAAGCCCCCACGAAATAGAGCCATTGTACCCCTTTACTGGGCACTGCTCGGGGTGACCGGACGCTCTGGTCAGATCGACTGGACGCACCCTGCCAGCGTCCAGTCAACAGATGGCTACCACATCATCCCTCTCTTCAAATACTGAGCGCCCAATCCCAACGGTCAAGTGATGACCGAACACAGCACAGTGCCACAACCGGACGTAGGACCCCAGTGTTCGGTCACTTCCAGTAAGATTCCAGCTGCGATCGGACGTGTCAGTTTGATCACGACCGGACGTAGGGCCCCAGCGTCCAGTCACTTCCAGTAAGCCTCCACTCACGACCAGACGCGTTCGGTCAAGCCTGACCGGACTCACCCAGCGTCCGGTCACTCACTGTCTCCTCTATGCGCTGCCACATCAGTAGGACCGGATGCACCCCACCAGCATCCGGTCACGAAGTGACCCATCATCCGGTCAAAGACCGACGCCAACATCTTCACTGCTTCCACTGACCGGACGCTCTGGTCCAGTTGAGACCAGCGTCCGGTGCACTATGTGAAACCCTGTCTTTTCTGTATAGGGCGCCGGTGCACTCTGCCGGTGAAGTTTCTTACCCTTGCTCCCAAGTGCTAAACACAATGTGTATCACCTTTGTGCATGTGTGTTAGCATATTTTCACAAACATTTTCAAGGGTGTTAGCACTCCACTAGATCCTAAATGCATATGTAATGAGTTAGATCATCTAGTGGTATTTTGATAACCGCATTTCGATACGAGTTTCACCCCTCTTAATAGTACGGCTATCGAACCTAGATGTGATCACACTCACTAAGTGTCTTGATCACCGAAACAAAATGGCTCCTACCATTTATACCTTTGCCTTGAGACTTTTGTTTTCCTTTCTTCTTTTCCAAGTCCAAGCACTTGATCATCACCATGGCAACACCATCGTCATGTCATGATCTTCATTTGCTTCACCACTTGGAGTAGTGCTACCTATCTCATAATCACTTTGATAAACTAAGTTAGCACTTAGGGTTTTATTAATTCACCAAAACCAAACTAGAGCTTTCACTAGATCAAGAGGTTGTGACCAATGGCGGCGCTTGAACGGGTCATCCCCCCTCTAGCCCTAGCGTGGTCGGCGGAGCTCACATCTGGAGGTAGGGCAGCAACGGGCCCCTATGGTGCCAACAATGGAGGTGGTCAGTAGGGCGGCGGGTAGTGGCAAGGCATCATGGCGTCGTCCCTTTGGGCGACGGCGGGTGTGGCGGAGGATGGTGGTGACCTAAGCGTCGACAGTCAGTCCTCGGCAGGGTGAAGGTGGATCCAGCAGAGGTGGGTCCATAGGCAGTTGTGTCCTAGGGGCGGCGCTGCGACAGTAGCTTGAGCGCTGGTGCAAGGATCTCGGCGAGGAGGAGGCGGATCCCATTGGCAGCGGTGGCTTGGGAGTCCAGGTGAAAGAGGATAGCCTTGGCGGCAGCGATAGAGGACTCCGGCAGAGGTGACGATCATGATCCCAATGATGGTGTTGCCCTATGGGCGACGGAGGCCTAGGAATCTGGCGAAGTAGAAGCTAGTGTCTGATCGGCTAGTTGTGACTGGACGGCGACCGATGAAGGTGGGCTAACCAGCGACACGTGGCGTCAGCTCACTCAAAGCGGATGAAGATGGTACCAGCGGAGGTTCACAGCGATGGCGCACTAGGGGCGACGGCGACTTGACGACTTCCACTGATCGAATCTCGACGTTTCATGAGAGGAGGTCGAGAAGCAGGGATGTGCCAAGGTCATCGTTTTTTTCCTTTTTTGGTTGTGTATGAAACTCTTTGTTGTGGTATTGATCTTAGGATTCTTGTGTCCTTTTGACTATGTATATCCTCTATGGATATAGAGGCCGGGTTAATAAAAATTCATTATCTAAAAGATATACTCCCTCATCCAAAATAGATGACATTTTAGTTATGAATCAAAACAATAGCTACACTATCATCTATTGTGAGACAAATCAAGTAATCCTAAACAAATACTCCCTCCGTTCAAAATTATAAGTCGCTTTGATTTTTTTGTTCATTCATTTTGCTTTGTATGTAGACATATTATTATATCTAATAGATGCATAATAAAATGGATGTACCAAAAAAATTAAAACAACTTATAATTTAAAACGGAGAGAGTACTTCCTCTATTTTAATTTATTATATATAGATAGTTTTGGCATTTGTAAATATACAACTTTTATTGTATATCTAGACATATCGTATATCAAGTTGCGTAACAACTTTTATTATATATCTAAACATGTACCTAGAATAAAAAAAACGACTGATGATTTAGTACAGGATGTGGTGCTATATCTAAAGAAAAGACGAATAAACAACCCACCTTATTTCCGGTGTTAGCTAGATGCAGGATGCATCACCGGGCTAAAGATGCGTCGCTGGGGTAGGAAAATTGTTTTATTTTTTTATAAAAAGAAATAAAAAACACGTGCTTGTCGTCCACTCGGAGCGAAGGTCGATGCCGCTCGCCGTGCACACGGAGGACGATGGGGCGCACGCGGAGGCCGTCATCCGTAACGGTGCGGCTCCAGCTCCCTCTCTTCTTCTCACCCTGCGTTCCTACCTCCACACCACAGCTTCTTGGTCCGGCAGATCCCTGTCTCTGCGCCCCTTCGCTATGGCGAGGAGGGGAGGACTGAGGACGACGCGGCAGCGGCCAGGGCTCCTGCGCCTCATCGCTATCAGCGAGGAGACGGAGGACGGCGGCAGCAGCCAATGCCCCATCTCTATCGGCGAGGAGAGGGAGGATGGCAACGGCGGAGGTGCCCGCTCAAATCCTCTGCCCACAACCTGTTCGACGAAATACTTCTATGGGGGTAAACTTAACCATGTTCAGATGTGGTGATTGTATCTTGGACAAAGTAACCAACCAAACCCAGAATTTCTTATACAGACTAAGCTAGCCAATGCAACCAAACAAGTGCATCTTGGATTTTTGGAGCCAGGCTATGGCTGCCCAGGCTTAGTTGGCTAGCCAGACCAGGTTTTAAACATGAACCAAACACACCCAAACTACTTGGATGATCTAGACGTACACCCACACTCTTTAGTCTTTACATACTTGAAAAAAAAAAAGACAAGCTGAAATAATTTATCCAGCTTCCAGAAAAAAGGAATGCGTGAAAATAAAAGAGCAGGGCAGAACTCCACGTAATATAATTCAGTTTTGGTTCATCATTCGTCAAGGAGAAATAACAGCATGATTGGTTGATTTTCATAAAATCTGGAACAGGTCCCTCTATTTCTGATGCACTCTACGGTCTTCGTCTCCGGACTAGGCTTTGCCACTTATTTCTGCTGGAGGCTGGCTCTGGTTTCTTTTCCTCTGGTCCTGCTTCTCATAATCCCAGGGCTCATCTACGGCAAGTACCTTCTCTACCTGTCCTGCCAGTCACGCCATGAGTACGCCAAGGCGAATTCCCTGGTCCAGCAAGCTCTGGGCTCTATCAAGACCGTTTACTCCTTCACAGCCGAGAAAAGGATCATCCAGAAATACACAGCAATCCTTGACAAGACGATCAAGCTGGGGATCAAACAAGGCATTGCAAAGGGTCTTGCTGTTGGGTTCACCGGCCTTTCTTTTGCCATTTGGGCGTTTCTCGCATGGTACGGTGGCAGATTGGTGATGTTACATCATGTAAGTGGTGGAAGGATATATGCTGCTGGGATTTCATTCGTCTTGGGTGGTTTGTATGTTTCTTGTACTCTTTAAGCCTTACTGACTTCATGACTCCATCTGATCATGTTTCTTGTACTCTTTAAGCCTTACTGACTTCATGACTCCATCTGATCATGTAGAAATAGAAGCTTAACTAACAATTTTTTACTGAATGTTGCAGATCCCTTGGAATGGCACTCCCTGAGCTGAAACATTTCACTGAGGCATCTGTTGCTGCCACAAGAATCCTTGATCGGATAAACCGTGTTCCCCAGATTAATGCTGATGACCCAAAAGGCCTTATTTTGGACCAAATTTAGGGAGAGCTCGAATTTGAATCTGTCCGTTTCGTGTACCCATCAAGACCAAATATGCCAGTCCTCAAAAATTTCAACCTCCAGATTCCTGCTGGGCGAACTATTGCTTTGGTTGGGTCCAGTGGCAGCGGCAAGTCAACAGCAATAGCTTTTGTGCAGCACTTCTATGATGCCAGTGAAGGAACTGTCAAAATTGATGGTTTTGACATTAAAGGACTCCAGCTCAAATGGATCAGGAGCAAAATGGGGCTAGTGAGCCAGGATCATGCATTGTTTTGTACTTCAATAAAAGAGAACATCTTGTTTGGCAAACCAGATGGGACCATGGATGAGGTTTATGCAGCAGCTATGACAGCAAATGCTCACAACTTCATAAGGGGGCTTCCAGAGGAATATGAGACTAAGGTACGCGCATCAAAAGTGAAAAGGAACATTCAGCCACCTTAATTCCATGTCTCATACATACTTTATGGTCCATTCTTGCAGATTGGTGAGCGTGGAGCATTGTTATCAGGTGGCCAAAAGCAGTGTATTGCCATTGCAAGGGCGATAATTAAGAACCCTGCTATACTCTTGCTCGATGAAGCCACAAGTGCACTTGATTCAGAATCAGAAAACTTGGTACAGCATGCACTTGATCAAGCATCCACGGCACGAACAACACTGGTAAATTGCCACTGCTTCCACTCTTCATACCTTTTTTGAGAAACTCACTCTTCATACTTTATAACCCTTATATCAGAACTTCTTGAATTACTTAGAACTTCAGCTTTTTGAAGAGAAAATCATTTGACGTTGAATCCCTGATTATTCATTAACAATGGTCAGGTGGTAGCTCATAAGCTCTCAACTGTGAAGAACGCTGATCAGATCGCAGTAGTTGATGGGGGTACAATCGCTGAAATTGGTACACATGATGAACTGATCAGCAAGGGTGGCCCGTACTCGAGACTTGTGAAATTGCAGATGGTAAGCTACATTGATCAAGAAAATGAACAATTTAGGGCTTCCTCAGTGGCCAGGACAAGTACCAGCCGTCACAGCATGTCCACAGCAAGTCCAATGCCACTAACACCAGCTATCTTAAAGGAAAATAATTCTGATGTTCCTCCACCTGCACCATCTTTCTCCAGGCTTCTTGCAATGAACGCACCTGAGTGGAGGCAGGCAGTCTTAGGCAGTTTATCTGCATTGGTATATGGTTCATTGCAGCCCATCTATGCCATAACCATCGGAGGAATGATTGCTGTTTTCTTTGTTCAGGACCAAAATGAGATGAATGCAAATATCAAACGCTATGCCTTGATCTTCTGCTCACTGTCCTTGGTATCCATTGTTGTGAATCTATTGCAACACTACAATTTTGCATACATGGGGGGGGCATCTTGTTAGGCGCATCCGGGTCCAAATACTTGAGAAGATCTTAACCTTTGAGGTAGCATGGTTTGATGAAGAAACTAATTCAAGCGGTGCATTGTGCTCTCGGCTAAGCAATGAGGCTTCTCTTGTCAAAACCCTTGTTGCAGATAGAATATCCTTACTGCTTCAAACAGCTTCCGGAATTATAATTGCGGTGACAATGGGCCTGATTGTAGCTTGGAAACTTGCTCTTGTCATGATAGCTGTACATCCATCTACAATGATATGCTATTATGCAAAAAAAGTGGTTCTCTCAAATGTGTCAAGGGACTTGGCAAAGGCTCAGCATCAAAGCACCCAGATTGCCATAGAAGCTGTTTACAACCACAGGATGGTAACTTCCTTTGGATGCTCATCGAAGGTTCTTCAGCTATTCGAGCATGCACAAGAGGAACCCTTGAAAAAAGCAAGGAAGAAATCATGGGTAGCAGGGATAACCACAGGGTTGTCACCTTGCCTCTCGTTCTTGTCATGGGCACTGGCCTTCTGGTATGGCGGGAAGCTGGCACAGTCTGGGGAGATATCAGCGGGTGATGTTTTCAAAACCTTTTTCGTGCTGGTGAGCACAGGAAAGCTGATTGCTGATGCTGGTAGCATGACATCTGACCTGGCAAAGGGAGCAAATGCAGTTGCTTCAGTATTTGAGGTGCTAGATAGGAAATCCATCTCTCCAAAAAATTCACAGGTAACAAACTCATTCGTAAGCATCATACAGAATACATATCGGCAAATCAGTTATGCGAGTATAGAATGATTTTACAACGTGATCTTGCTATGAGTGAGAATGATATACATCTATTTTGCAGGTGGAGAAGGAAGATCAGAAGAAGAAAATAGAAGGTAGAATAGAATTCATGGAGGTAGGTTTTGCATATCCAACAAGACCAGAATGCCTTATCCTACAGGATTTTAGCTTGGACGTGAAAGAAGGAACGAGTGTTGGCCTGGTTGGGAGAAGCGGTTGTGGTAAATCAACTATCATAGGTTTGATCCAGAGGTTCTACGATGTTGATAGGGGGGCCGTAAGAATTGATGGTATGGATGTGAGGGAGATGAATATTCTCTGGTTCCGAGGATTTACAGCTCTTGTTAGTCAGGAGCCTGCAATGTTTTCGGGCAGTGTCAGGGACAACATTGCTTTTGGTAAACCAGAAGCTGATGAAGATGAGATTGTGGAAGCTGCAAACGCACATGAGTTCATCTCGTAAATCTTTTTACTTGTTTCTATCCCAAAATTGTATAAATCTTGCAAGCATGCCTTTTATTTCAACTCGCATTGTATAACACAAGGAACTAAGTTGATTATTTTTCAGATCCTTGGAGGATGGATACGATACTGATTGCGGAGAGCATGGTATACAGCTCTCAGGGGGACAGAAGCAAAGAATTGCAATTGCAAGGGCAATAATCCGGAATCCAGCAATACTACTACTTGATGAAGCAACAAGTGCGCTTGATGCGCAGTCAGAGCAAGTGGTGCAGGAAGCTCTTGATCGAATAACGTCAGGGAGGACCACAATTGTGGTGGCACATCGACTAAACACGATCAAGAATGTAGACTCGATTGCTTTCCTGGGAGAGGGTACAGTGGTGGAGCGTGGCTCTTACCCGGAGCTCATGAACAAGAAGGGAGCATTCTACAACCTCGCAACTGTTCAGAAGTAACTGTCTGTATGTAATGTAAACTATTATATCTAATGAAACTCCTGCAGTAATTGATATTATTGCTAGGTTACTATAGCACAGAAGCAGCACTCCTAAGCTAGTTTTCAAGCAACTCTTTCAATAATCAGTTAATATATAAATATATATATTTGACACAATCCTCGCCTTTCAAAGTTTCTGGTGGGCTAAGATTGGCAAAAAAATATGTAAAGAAATGATAATATGGCCTAGTAACTTAAAAAAAAGTATGATAAGGAAAAGCAAGCATTATGAATCACTTGAATGCAACATAAGTCTGAAGCAGATGAAATATTTAGAACATACACTTGCAACATATGTGTCAATCATATGCAACATCTAGATAAAACAATTGTAACTTGCAACATGAAAACACCTATTGCAACATAAGACTGAAACAACCAAAACATTTCGAACATACTTTTGTAGCATATGTGTGAAACATATGCAACATCCAAATATGCACACTTGCAACGTACATCTAAAAAAGTAGATGAAACATTTAGAACAGACGATTGCAACATACATGTACAACCATTGCAACATGTGCAACATCACGATCTATTTTTGCAACATCCATATGAAACACTTGCAACATACCTCTGAAACATGTGAAACAACTGAAACATACTCTTGCAACGTACGCTTTCAACGCAACATCTCTTTGCTACTCGGCAGAATGGAGGCTCATCGATGTGTGGTGTCCACCGGAGGCAGCGCCCCGCGGCAGTGGCTGCACGACGCGAAAGGGTGGCATCGGCCGCAAGAGCAGCGGGGAGGTTGTGGCTGCACGACTTGGAGTGGGCAGCAGCGTGTCGCGCCTGGCAGGGCCGGCAGCCGAGCATCGCGACTCGGAGGCAGCTGCGCGCCGTGCCTAGCAAGGCCCGCTACCGAGCGGTGCGCCTCGGAGGTGGCAGGCGAGCGGATAAGAGCGATAGGAAGAGGAACGAGTGGATAGGAATAAGTGGATGAGCAGTTCTTTTTTTTAAACAAAGGAGCGTGAATTGTTGGACTGACGTCTGACCTAGCAATGGACCGTCCGTCTGGACGAACGCCCGTTTCAGAGCATTACCGAAAAGAATGTCCATGAAAGGACTTACCGTGAAGTGACCATAGCCAGAAAATAAATAACTGTAAGCAAAGGCTTACACCTTCTTTACTCTTTCTTGAAGTTGATATTTAGTAGATTTCCCTTGGAGAGTTCAATCTCCATACTCATGTTATCCATCTCTAGTTTAACCAATGCCCCTACGTCAATTGATCCAGATTCACTAAGGTTAGCTGCTCTTTTTTCTTTTTTCCTTTTTTATCTCGGCTAGTTGCTCTTTTAACTTATCAGTCATGGTATAGTGTTTTTCTCTCACAATAAATCAATGAACAGTACTTTTCAGCCTAGCTTTTCAGCGAGATAAAAGAGTCTGCTCATGGCTCTTCCGAACCATCAATCAAGACTGCCCCGGGCAGGAGGCAGTGTCTCCGCCTCTCCGGTGGCAAGGTAGCTTTCCGGCCGGTACTTGCCTCTCCCCCTGCTGCCGCTTCAAGCTGGAACAGTAATGAAAAAAGTCCATTTTACCTCCCTCAAATATTGTATAAATTCGATTTACCTTCCTCAATAGAAATCGATCTTTTAGACTCCTCCAACTATTAAAACCGTCTAATTTATCTTCCTGAGCAGTTTCGAGAGTTGTTTGTGGCGCCAAGTCACGCCAGGAGAGGTAAATTGGACTTTCGTGATAGTTCAGGGAGGTCAATTAGTATAATTGTTTTTTCAAAAAATTATCTAAATATTTTTCTAGAATAAATATGCATTTAAAAAGACTAAATCTGATTAATTATTATTAAATTTGTTTTAACTCAGAAAAATATGAAACCAGTTTCATGTTTTTCCTAATGTTCTACTTTTTTTTTCTTTCTTATATTGTCTCCTAAAATTTGAAACTAGGACTAATATGAAACTGGATACATATTTGAAACTAGGATAAATATGAAACTCGGAAATACGAAACAAGTTACATATTTTTCTGAGTTAAAAACAAAATTTCTATGATTTTTCTAATATTAAATCAAATTTTAGTATTTTTAAATGCGTATTTATTCTAGGAAAGCATGTGCATTTTTAGGAAATAATATTTGTAGAAACTGACTAACTTGACGCCATGTAGGACAACTGACATGGCCATGTAGGACAGCTGATGTGGCGCCACGTCAGCCAAAACCACTCTCAAAACCGCTTAGAGAGGTAAATCGGATGGTTTCAATAGTTGAAGGAGTAAAAAAAAGGGTTTTCTAATTAAGTGAGGTAAAATAGTCAAGGGAGTTCAATAGGAATTCCTGATTCTATGTTCCACCGACCATGACGAGCAAGCTCCAAAGCCTCCAAGGCTGGCTTGGTGTCGTTCCGTAATCCGTAGCACGGCCTGTGCTCTGTCCTCATTGGAGGAAGGGGAGGCCTCAGGGCACGTGCAACCCATAGACGAGGGGTTGTCTTCAAGAGTCTCGAAGTAGATGTACACAGCTAAAAAGACAGGTTATACAACCCACGGGCAGAAGATCGTCTGCAAGCTGTTTAATGTTATGTATGTAGTTAAGATAAATCATGAATACTATTTTGTGTACCACTGTGTTGCTATTCGATAGATAATGGATCATAGCTACACTTAATTCACACTAATAACATTCAAAAGAGGCTTTTACATGTATGCCATTAAAAAAGTTTGTAATTACACACAAGCCATTAAAAAAATTGACCGCACACGAGTGCCATCGTTCTAAACTTCTTTGCTCTCCAAGCCATTCCATCGGTGTTCTGTTCGTTTTTCACCGTTACATGTAGGCCCGGTCAGTATAAAGATCCAAAATACCCATCTCATCTCTATCCTCTCTCTCTCAAACTCTCTCTCTTCTCGCGCGCACGGCGACGGGCGAAGGAAGCGGCCGTGCTGGCAGGGCGGCATGGCGCGCTCGCCCGCGCGCGCCCGCGACGGCCGCGGCGAAGCTCGCCCGCGCCGTCGGCCGCGACACCTCCAGCGCCACCCTTTCCCCGCGCGCCCCGCCGCACGAGCTACAGCCGCCATGGCCACGTGAGCCCCTGCCCGCCATGGCCATCGGCCGCGAGACCTCCAGCGCCACCCTGGCCCTGCGCACCCCGCCCCGCAAGTTCCGACCGCCATGGCCGCACGCCTGCGTCCTCGTCCACGCCCGGCTTCCCCTCGCGCTTGAGCTCGCGGCCAGCAGAGCCCCGCTCGGCGGAGCTCGCGCTCGAGCTCGCGGACGCCATCCCCTCCGTCAGCGCTCGTGCTCGCGGCCGTGGGCGTGCCCGCCGCGCGCTCCGCACCCAGGCGAGGGCAGGCGAGCCTCCTGTGCCCGCAGCAACTGCAATTCCCGCCATGGCCAGCCGCCGACACCGCTACCCGGCATCGCACGTGCAGGCGCGCCCGAGCCATGCGCGGCTCCTTGCCTTCCTCTCGCGCGCCTGTGTTGTTCTCCCTCCCAGCTTGCCTAGCCAGCCGCCGTGCCCCGCAGCCACCTCGAGGTGCCCATGCTCTACCGCTGATGTCCCGCGCCGCCATGGCACACTGCAAGAGCGCGCAAGCCCACGGCCCCTCCCCGGCACCTCCTCCGCATGCCGCAGCTCCACGGCACCCGCGCACGTCTCCACCTCGCTCCCCGTGCTGCCTCCTGCCCACCGTCGCCCGGCCTGTGCGCGAGCGTGCCCGTACTGCGTGGAACCACGCTGCTCCACCCCGCCAAGGCCGCGCCCACCGGGTCGCCCTGCTGCTGACACCCGCAAGAAGCATCGGCGCCCCCCTCCTCTCCCTCCTCACCGCGCCGCTCCAACTCCATGCTTCGCGCCCCGCCGTGGCCGCTTCCACCGCCGCCACCGCGCGCGCGAGAGCGCCAAGCCGCCGCGGGCGCACGCGCGTGAGCGTGCCATGCCGCCCTGCCAGCGCGGCCGCTTCCTTCGCCTACCGCCGTGCGCGCGAGAAGAGAGAGAGTTTGAGAGAGAGAGGATAGGGATGAGAGGGGTATTTTGGACCTTTATACTGACCGGGCTCACATGTAACGGTGAAAAACGAACGGAACATCGACGGAATGGTTTGGAGAGCAAAGAAGTTCAGAACGGTGGCACTCGTGTGCGGTCAATTTTTTTAATAGCTTGTGTGTAATTACAAATTTTTTTAATGACATACATGTAAAAGCCTCCATTCAAAATGCCTCATAGTGATCTTCTACTTCTCCAGGTAGTCATAACTGGAAGAAACAAGATCATATGAGATCTTAGCCAATTAACAACAACCAGCGATCAGGCATCATATATGACATCAAAACAGGAAAGGCGTCACCCACATCTAAATTAAGCTCAGAGATGGAATATTATTGCTTACGCCATTATTAAATACAAGCGCGACAGTTTAAAAACACTGATAGAAGAAATTTGATGCTGAAAGAAGAAACACAAGGATGCTGCAAGATGAGCTATCGAGTGAGGCATTGCATCGAACAGCTATCGGGCGTCCCTTTTTTTTCCTTAACCAACTCATTAATGTTAAACTAGTTTGCCATTGCAACAAAATAGTAGAGGCATTAGCAGGCAAACAACATCATGGAGTAAATACCAGATCAAATACTGCTACACGACGCAGTCTCTCAGCAACAAGAAACAGAGAAGGTGACTTGGGCAGTCGGGTCGAGCACTCGAGCTAGCGCATACACCCGTCGCCGCTCGTGCCTGGCCATCGTGGCCACGGGACCGTCGGGTGCCGGCGCAGTCTTGTCCTAGCTTGCTCACAACGAGGTGCGACCGCAGGAGACGGGAGCTGCAGCCGCCACCGCCGCCACTGCGCACCTGGGCTCCAGCGCTGCCGCGGCGCACCTACAGCCTGTTCGTTTCGGCTGAAACAATCGTGGATTATTACTGCTGGCTGGTTTGGTGTGAGAGAAAAATAATATTCTGGATTATAATCCACGATCGTTTACGACCAAGCGAACAGGCTGCTAATCTCCAACGTCGTTGTTGCGCGATGATGGAGAAAAGAGGAACATTGGTGGGTGGGGGATTTTGGCGTGGAAGATTGGATTCTCCCGTGCGCACAGATTGATCCGTCCCTCGTTGCTCGGAGACGACGATGCCGTACAACGCGCCCTCCACCAACGACTGAGCCTGGGAGCACGAGCCGGCGTCGTCGTCTCGCGAGACGACGGCCTCGCCCTCGCCCGTCTCCACGCTAGTGAGGGTGTTTTCTGTAAAAATTAAATCATAGAGATGGCTAAGTTCCAAAAAAAAAAATCATAAAGACGACTCGAATCGTCCTGTTGTACGTGCCCTTAGTCTAAAAAAAATGCCACCGCGATCGAGCTAGTTTAAATTTGATCAAGTTTGTAATAAATAGTATTAGTATTTACGTCTTTAATAAAATTTACTATAAAAATATATTCTATAACTATTCTAATAAAATTTACTTTTTATCATAAATGTTATTATATTTTTTTATATAACTTTAATTAAAATTCAAACGGAAGCAACCCAAAGACACACAGGGTCAGGTGGTCTGTGTGTTGTGTGCTTTCGTTGCTGCAGCCTCTGCAGGTCAGCTAGAGCATGGCTAACGGTGTGTCTGCCGGGGATTCTGTTTCAGCCAAAACAGTTTTAGTTACAACTTATCTGATAAAATAAATTTTTAGCTCCAGCTTCTCTTAAAAAACATTCGATAAAACACATTCTTTTAAAAAGAATAGAATGTCCATAGTACCCCTCTAGTTTTATTTTTTCTTTTTAGATTTATTTTTCTTCTCTTATATCTTATTTCTTCCCTTTCTGTTTTTATCCAATAGGTACATCACCCATGCAAGTTGGTTCTCTTCTCCAGCCTTGCCTCGGATCGCCGCCCCTCCCCTCTTGATTCGTCGTAGCTAGGCAGCCCATCTCTAACCCCGCAGCTCCGCCTCTCTCTTCTCTGGACCTGCCTCTGATTGCCGCCCCTCCCCTCCTGCCGCACCACAGCCTCCAACGGCCCTAGGCCCAGTACAACTGTTGCTCCTACGCATGATGGAGGAGGGTGGCAACGCCTCGTCTCCAACCTCCTGATCATGAGGGAGGAAGATGGTAGCGCGCGTGGGCCTAGGGGCATGATCCTACCGAAGCTTGATTTAAAGTGGCTCGTTTGGTCGCAACGCATGCAAATCAACTTCCACAACAAGAAGCGCTACCAAATTTGACATAAGTCACGCTAGTCTTGGCACAGAGGCCTTGGCTTTGGTTTGAAGAGGGCCCCATAGGTTTCCAATTAAATATATAAAAAATAAAATGAAATGAAAACAGAGCACCGCGTCCTCCTCATCCACGTAGGCGGAGGGGAAGGGACAGGCAGCTGCATGCTCGGTTGACCGCTCGCCGGCCCGTGTCCGTATTTGGGGTGGAATCCTGGGAGGTGTTGTGTTCTGCTTCCCACGACTCCTCCATTCAGACAAGACAGAGACAGGCCTGCCTGCCTCTCCCTCTCCCTCTCCAACAACACGCCGCCCGATCCACGCCGGCCACAATCCGGGCTGCCCAAGGTGTCCTCGTCTCCCCTCCCCTCCCCTCCGTTCCTGGACGCCGCCCTCCCGCCCGCCGCCGGCTGATTTCTTCTCTCCTTCCTCAGGTACGTACGGGAACGGAACACCGCCCCCCCCGGCGTTGCTCCGACCTCCGATCCATCGGTGGTGGTCTGGTGGGTGTTCTCCACTTCTCCTGCGCGGTCCTTGACAGGCAAGCAGACACGTTTCTTCCCGCCTCGTCCGCAACGAGCCGCTTGGCCGCCGCGGCTCTCTCCATGCGCGGCGCCGCCCGGCGGGCTCTGTCAGCGCGGTCTCCGATCCAACCAGGGAGGCAATGCAATGCTGTGTAGAACAACGCGCAAGCCAATAAGGGTTAATTAATGGATAACTAACATGCCACAGGATTGAATGCGCTGCACTGCAGTTCGTTCCGGATTAGTCCCCGGCCTGCCCCTTTGACTTTCTTTGATTTGATGGAAACAGACTGACCCGATCCGAACCCAAAAGCTTCCTTTTTCGGGATGGGAGATGGAATGGGATCCAGACCACATTGCCACAATCTTGTTATGCATTTCTTTGCTGCGAGCCCTCAAATCCCCCCGCCTAGAATCGGAAAATGCTTCATCTGGAAAATTAGTTGCAGAGATCGAGCCACGGCTGTATATCTCTGCATTATCTTCCCCTTCCATCCCTCACGTGTTCATCTGAAAAATTCAGAACGCTAATCCTCCGTATGCAGGTTCCTGACCACAAGTAGGCACGATGGACCTCCCGGTGGCGGATCCCGGAACGGAGCGAGGCGAAGGCCCGCTGATCCAGTGCCCATACTGCGACTCAGAAGCGATGCACAAGCTAGCCCAGATCCTCCTGCCCGGTCTCGCCGCGGTCTGCGTGGATGGCACGACGGGGGACCTGTTCCGCAACCCGTCGGTGGTGGCCGTGGACCTCCGGAAGGAGATGGTGGACTACATCACGCAGCGGAGCGACACGTTCATCGCGGACGCGCTGATCGAGTCGGAGGCGAACCAGGACGGGCCCGAGGCGGAGATGCCCGACGACCCGTTCGAGATCGTGTCGGTGTTCATGGACGACTTCAGCAGAACCAAGCGCAACATCATCGGCCACGTCTCCGGGTGGCTGCTCAGCGACAGCCGCGACGACAAGATCGACGACTTCGTGCAGGAGATGGAGATGACCAAGTTCTGGCCGCTGGAGCGCCGGGAAGCCATCGCCGAGGTGCTGCTCAAGAACGTCGACCTCAAGACCAAGTTCCACTGCCCCGAGAAGTACGAGAACGAGGAGCGGTTGGCGGACCACAAGGAGCAGTGCAGCTTCAGGCCCGTGGTCTGCCCCAACGACGGGTGCCGGGCAAAGGTCTCCGTTCGGTGCATGAAGGACCATGACGCCGCGTGCTTGTACAAGGTGCTGCAGTGCGAGCAGGGATGCGAGAAGCGGCTGCTCAGGAGGGATATGGATCGCCACTGCGTCACTGTGTGCCCCATGAGGCCCATGAAGTGCCCCTTTGGTTGCGATTCCTCGTTCCCTGACCGTGATCTTGAGAAGCACTGCGCCGAGTTTCTTCAGGCGCATTTGGTTAAGGTGCTTAAGGCGATTCATAAGAAAGGGGGGCGTTCGGAAGATGAGCTCAAGGAGCTTGCTCAGAAGCTGGAAAAGGTTTGCCTGCCTTTTCACTGACCTTTGTGAATTACATATATGCTTTTGAATTGATGCTATTTGCTTCCCAAATATTTCTGATGAAATTGAGTTAACAGGATGCCAATCTGATCTAATCGCTTTGCTAGTCTTTTCATCTGATTATAGAATAAACCTTTTTTTTTGGACAAAAACTGGTGCCATTTAATTTGGTGACAATTTTTTTTTTCATGAAATTAGATGCACTGGTTGATCTGATATCCCTTCCCACTTTTTTACCTTAATAACCTGACTGTCCATTCTACTTTCTGCAGTTTGATGCAGATGGTAAACTAGCTAAAGTTCTGGATGCAAGACCTCTTACTAATGTTGTGAAGGACCTCGAAGCCAAGATGAAAGCTGAACATTCAAGTTAAAGGGCTGGGTCTTTTATACAGACAAACTTCACAGGATGGATAACTAACATTGTTTAGTTGAAGGGGTGGTCCTACGTGCAGCATATATATAGAGAAGAACATAAGTTTTGTTTTATTCCTATCTCCTTTATGATTTTTTGCTTCATTTTCTCCCCTCACAATCAAATTAATTCTCAGTATGTATAGTCCCTATTGCTCTGTACCTTGAATTTTGTATGAGGATATTGTTTGTTTTGGTATATAAATCAAAGATCGGGTCATGTTTCCAGCAGGCTTGTTCTGTACCAAATTATGGCTTGTTAATTGTGATGAATGAGCTCTGCTGATATTCAAATTCAATGTGTGTTAGGTTAAGATTCACATTTAACAGCAGCTAGGTTAGTGAATTGCCTGGACCAACCAGTTGAGCTAGTTAATCTGAACCATTTATTTACATACACTGCCTTTGACGCCGTAGGTTCCTGGTGTGAGAAAAATAAACATGTTCTCTGTCCTAGACTCCTAGTAACAAATGCTATTCTACTGCAAAACTGTAATGATTTTTTTTTGGAATGTTAGCTGTGAGAACCATAGTTTACAGATAGTGTTTGATGATCCAGGGTGCACTCAAATAATGCGAGCATTCAGCCATTCAGGGATCATTGCAGCTTGGAAGTCGCATGCTCTATTCTGCAGTCCATGCTCATTGCAATAGATGGCCTTGTGGTCTTGTGGACTTGGTTGATGTGATCTTGTACCTCCGACTGCAGTTGATACGACCTTGATCTTGTTTCTTTGATCCATTGATTGATCGGCATCGGCTACAAGGATCTCGCTGGGCACTTCAACTCAGCTGGCATCGCCTGGTAGATGCCACCTGCGATGGAACAGGCAAATCTACCACATACTGACACAGGCATATGTTCCTTCTGCTATCAGTCACGGTTCACATACGATCTATCTATTATTATCTTAAGAAATAAGTATTTCTTGATTATCGAACTATTGTTGAAGTTTTATTTTGGCCATCAAACTCAAAACTAGGATACTTTGACCATTGAACTTTGGCCATCGTACTCAAAACTAGATGTTTTTACCATTGAACTAAATCTTTACAAAATGCTTTTTGAAAATGCTAACTCCGTGCTAAAGGAATTGTTGTCATTTGTACATCATTTAGGGAGTTAACCATTTGAAAAAGGTTTTTGAAAAGTTACCTGGTGGAGTGTTTCTGCCACCACCGGAATAGTCTGGTGGTGCCCTACAGAAACCACTAGAGAAACCAGTGAGTGCCCGGGGTTGTGTTGTTTACTGTGCTGTAGGGACACCGATTTTTGGTCATGTCCTTAAGGGGGAACCGGAGAAAGAGGTGATCATGGGCTGTAGCTAGGGTTTGCTACTGGAAATTTTTTATGGCCCCTGCTACAGACCACCGGAGAAAGCGGTCCAAAGCGAGGACACGTGGATTCAAACATGTTTGCAGTACTTTGTCCAGTGCTTGGCACCAAAGTTTTCTGGTGGTGGCTCGACCCTCTCGGGTTGTCCACTAGTAAGGTTCCGAGGCCACTAGATTAGTCTGGTGGGTCCCACTAGAGAAACATTGGAGGAAGCATGCCAGTTGGGCCACTTAACAGAGAGTGAGCATGGTCGCAGAGATGTCTAGTGATCAGGCACCTAAGAACAGGCACTCCAACAGTGAAGTGACTATTTGAATTTGACCGTTGGATGACTGACACGTGTTAGACCCCTTCCTCCGGTGGTGTTTTTCGATGGGGCATCGGAATTTCTGGTGCTGCCGAAAAAGCTATAGTTTGTTCCCAACAGCTAGTTTGGGTGAGCAGGCTATTGTATATGTGGGTTGGAGGACCATTTCAAGGGGCTGAGTTCGTTGTGAATCCAACAAATTATAAAGGAGCCCAAGGAACACTCTCCACTCACATACACTAGTAGAGATCATATTTGTGGTGAGATTGGAGTGATCTCATGCATTTGCTTGAGAGAGATAGCATCTAGTGGCACTAGGGGTTGGTTAGCAAGCTTGAGGGCTTTTTACTCTAGGAGATTGACACCTCCTAAATAGCTTGGTGGCAAGAGGCTCCATTGAAGCACATAAGAAGTTGTGCGGTGCTTCGAAGAGAGCAATTGTAAGGGGCACTTCTGCTCGCCCTTGCGGGAGATCATGAAGAGCAACTCTAGTACAAGCGAGATCTGAAAAGCACCATGTGGTCTAGCTAGGTCAAGTGCTATTGCTCATGTTGAGGGAGCACCATGAGGGATGATTGCAAGCTTGAGGGCTTGACATGTAGCAAGAGGACCGTCAACAACCTTGGGGCTCGACTCAATAGGGATTTAGTGGTTGGCAAACCACCAAACCTAGAGATAAAAATCATTGTGCCAACCTATGTGTCGTATTGTTTTGCTCCGGCAATATCCAACAACATGATCACGTAGACGGAATTAGATGGTAGCACACGAGACACAGAGATTTATACTGGTTCGGGGCGTGGGGCGTGCTAAACCCTACTCTAGTGGTGCGGCAACTCTTGTATTTGTATACTCAATTACAGGGGTTGTTGCTCCTAGCTACGAGGTAGATGGAATAGGTGGAAGATGGATCGGATCCCGAGCCTGAGTTCCCTACCCTCCTTTATATAGGCAGGAGAGGTAGGGTTATAGAGAGGGCGATCAGGCTAACAGATTGTTTCCTAGTTTGTTACAACAGATTGATCCTAGCTATCGTTCAGATACACCCGCCTATTTTTGCCTTAATCTCCACGTTGGCCGATGGCGTCAGCCCTCATGGGTGCTGAAGTTTCGAGCAGTGCAGCTAGATATTCCCAAGTATTGGGGAGCCAGTCGTATCCACGGAGAAACGTGTGTGTGTTGTCTAACATGTTTGTCCAGGGATAGCAATCAAAGTTTAAGGTATGAGTAGAGAGGATTCCTATGGTTATGACCCTATGCAAAGCAAGGCTTATGATTCTAATGTTCACTTTGGGACGCCACTTAAATAGTAAAGCACCACTAATAGATAACTCTACCGACACGACTACGGTCCAACTAATTTAAGAACCTGCTCAATTTGATGTGGACTACAAAAGATAGACGGGGCTATCACCTCCCGCTGCTACCACACAACCTGAAAGCAGGGAGCAAACACAGGTAGCCGATAGCCTAAGCACCACATTTATGCTAACAATTACTACTCTAATCTAGCTAGCAAGAACTAGAGCACTCAAAAGAACTGTGAACCTGTGAACAAAAGATCACAAAACTTACTTTAAACAGAAATCAATTACCAAAGGTATCTCAGATGTAGACTTAGAGAAGCCTAGATCCACCAAAGTACAAGCCATAGAGGTAGCACCATGTTGACGTTGAGGATGACCCCAAACCAACACACCAGCAGGGCCTTGGACGCCCAAAGAGGTTGCACACAACCTGCAACGCAGCAAGAACACGGCATAATCGATCAAACCAGTCTAAAGACCGATGTAGAGCCTGTTCTTGGCTGGAAAAGCTCCCGAACTTCTCCCGGGAAGACCCATCAGGGAGGAGCACGTGGAGGATCTCCTAGGACCAGCAAGGCTGCCTAGGATGCCACTGAATCTCGTCGAGAAATTCAACGAACAGCAAAAGGGGTTGAGAGAGAGGAATTAGGGCATAAGGAGTTGATAGATTGGTTTGTATGACGATTGGATAGATGAGAACTCAATTGGCCATGTTCCTCTCATATATATAGAGGGGGGTAGTCTTATCCTAGTAGGAAACCTCTCCAAGCCTTATTTTCTAAGTTTCCCACGAGTTTGGAACAGTTCGGATCGGAAGCCAAAAGGCCAGATCCGAATAGGATTTTCTGTTAGGTATGTCGGAAGTCCCGACTTGGGTCGGAACTTTCGACAGTCGGAACTTCCAACTTTTGTCAGAACTCCCGACGTAGGGATAACCCCAAACACCCAAGCAGAATTCTTCAGGCTTCTCGGAAGTCCCAACACCTGTCGGAACTTTCGACAGTCGGCAGTCCCGACTTAGGTCGGAACTCCCGACGTAGGGATAACCCCAGACACCTGAGCAGATTTCTTTAGGTTTCTCGGAAGTCCCGGCGCACGTCGGAACTTCCGACAGTCGGAAGTCCCGACTTGGGTCAGAACTCCCAACAACGAGGCATCTTTCCGAGGGCATAACTTCTTCATCCGGACTCCGAATTAGACATTCCATATATGTTTTTTGACCGTCTCAATGAGAGGAACACAATGGTGAAGTCCGTTTCACATTTTGACAACTTCACAAAATGAACATTTTTGGTTGTCAACATATGCCCCTGTTTTCAGGTGAATGATGTATAAACCTGAAAACACTTAATCAAATAAATTAAAACCAAACAGCGACAATTCCTATCTCATCGGCTGCTCAGTGGCTAAGGGCGATGTATACATCGACCATTTTTTCTAAGGGCGATACACGTATCGGCCATTGTTTGGTGAGCACTTAGGCTTCTTGCCAAACACTTGGAAAGTACCTTTTCAAGTACCTCCCGTTGAATGCTCTTGTGAGACGTTCGCCTTGCAATGTCTCTAGCACATATGAATTTCCGAATATAACTTTGACCACTTTGTAAGGACCTTCCCAATTTGGTGACCACTTGCCAAACTGATTGCTCTTTGATCCAATTGGTAGTATGGTTTTCCACACCAATTCTCCCACTTGGAAGGATTTGCTCCTGACTTTCTTGTTGTATGCTTTGGCAACTCGAGCTTTATCTTTCTCTATTTCCTTGAGAGCTTTTAATCTCACATCAGTCACCTCATCGATATTATCCATCATCAAATCATGATACACAACAGCTGATAAATCATTTTGTTTAGCAAGCCTGTATGCATCCAAATTCACTTCGACAGACAACACGGCCTCTTGGCCATATACTAACTCAGAAGGAGTAACCTTTGTAGCACCATGCCTTGAAATGCGATGTGCCCATAGAGCCTTAGACAAAACTTCATGCCATCTCCTTGGATTCTCCT